TGTGGTTAAAAAATACCCTACGAAATACAATCATTAGAATACCATAATAATTACATAAATTTTGTCATGTAGGTACTTGAAATGAAAACCATACAACTTCTCCCAGTCCAATTCATTATAGTTATAGTTTTTATAAATATTTTATCCTCAAATAACTTTATCTAGTTCAATCACTTTATTAGATCATTTAAATTTTTTGATCCTCAAATACGAGGATTGCCCAACTATCGAGTCCAATCTGTTATCTCGACTTAGATTTTTCGGAATCGAATCGCTTAGAAATTAAATCAATCCCCGACTTAGACTGTTGATGCATTTATCACTTGATTTTCTAAACATCCAAATTTTCAAAGCATCGAAATTTTCTAACATCGAAATTTTCTTAACATCGAAATTTTCTAAACATCGAAATTTTCCAAACATCGAAATTTTCCAAACATCGAAATTTTCTAAACATCAAAATTATCTAAACATCGAAATTTTCTAAACATCAAAATTTTCTAAACATCGATATTTTTTAAACATCGAAATTTCCTCGTACCATTCCTTGCTGCGTCTATGGATAAGTTAGAACATGGCTGAACCAGAGTAATAGTTCAAACATGGGTTAGAATTTCACCACTCATTAGAATGATTACAAATTCTCTCACGAACGGCATTGCGGATCTTGAAGTGAACAGAAGAAGCAGCGCTCCTACTGTATACATAGACTATAAACTCATAAAATGTAAATAAAGACAAATCCAAATACAAAAATTTGAAGATGAGCCTTACATTAACGTAGTTTTATCTAGGGCAAGCCATCACAGGTTTTTACGCATAGCCCAACTTAACAACAGATCTTAAGAAATAATCGGGAGTCGGCTAATAACCAGTGACAATAACCGCACGGGTCATAAAAAATCAAGAAATTGAAATCCGGGTACACAATTCTATTATAGTGACACAATCTATCTAATGCGTTCACAGTACAGTGTTATTTTAATTTCAAGTTCAATGCTTTACCGAATTGATTTGAAATCAAAATATCCGTTAAATTTTCGATAACGCGGATATTTTTCGTGAATGCCAAGTTTGGTTGTCGGGAAGATCGTGCTCAGTGGTGGCTGTGGTCGGCTAATTGGTCTCCTCGAAGCGTTGATATTCCGGGCACAAGTGGCGTGACAAACTGCGGCCACAGATGCACCCAGCGCGCCAATTTACGGCTCAATCAACAGCCAAAATGAAAGCGAATAATGGAGAAGTAAGAAGGCAGCTGCGCCGAAATTTCGCCCGCATGCACTTTATTGTTGTTCTTTTAAATGGATGGCACAATATTGCTCGAGGAGATCATAAAGAAGCAGCTTTGTCGAGGAACAGCTTCTGCAGCGCCTGATCCTCAAGCGCAATACTAAGGTCCTGGTGAACTGCTTAGCGGCTGTCGCGAGGCTCAAGTTGCTTACAAAAGTTCTGCAAATCCAGTGGACATTTAAATTGAGCTTCAGTAGCCAGTTCATCTCGATTAGTTTTGACTTTGATATATGTTACAAAAATAATTGTAGAAATAAATGTTTTCACTAACTCCTCTACCTAAAAAAATAAGTCGAATAATGTTCGTTGGTTTAAATTGCGTTTGCTGTTTGTCAGTTATATTGATATAATTTACTTCAGTTAATTTTTTTGTAAATAATCGTAGTTTTATGTAGGAATTATTAATGATTGCCTTGATTATAGACGTAAAATCAACTTCAATGATCGAACAGGAAAAAGTGCGTGAAATCTGTAAAAAAACTCTAAAAAGACGAGCAAGTTTCACATACCAATTGGGCACTGAAGGCTATACGAAGAAGAGGCTTTTGCCTGGAACTGCACGAGTTGTTTTCCTTCGTTTGAGAGCTGCAGCTTCGACAGGCCTAAAATAACACGATGTTCCTTTACCATAACACGGCTTATTCCACACATTTGATTTAATGACGACCTCAACCGCCGAAAGCTTCACCCTATCTTTTCTTATTGACTGGCCCCATTGTGGGCGCTTGCTCCACACAATCCCTGGATCTGCCCGCTCTATCGCAACATGTTTTGCTTCGTGCCATCGCCGACCATCCACAACAGAGCGTTTTTTTCTCCGATCGTATACGGCAATTATTGGAGACTATAAATGGCAAACGTTGACAGTAAATGACTCTTTATTTGTGGGAATGTTTTCTGAGATTTTGGCCGGGGAATACCTAGGGAGGTTAGCTCTGGAATGATGATCCAGAGAATTTGAATGAAACATTGCTTACGAAGTTAAGTTTCTTTTTACGAAAAAGTTCGGAAAAATACTTCTCCATTGCATTTCTGCTGGATTGTTTTCTAGTTATAGGTTGATTTTATATTTTGTCAAAAAAATTTTTGGCGAAATCAATTTCAAATTTCTAGTTCAATATCACTCAATGTTTTACTTAGTTGCTGGCTAGAAGTTCATTGTGAGAAGCTATATTTCTAGACATCATCTTCGTTATTCTCTGTATTCTTAGATACCCTCATCTTGATCATTTATAATGTAGATATTTTAATCATGATATATTAATAGAGACCTCCATCGTGATTAAGAGATTCAGTCATATATTGGAAAAGCCGCTAACATACGACAACTTCACCACCTAAATTTTTTTGGAAATAGGTTCCTTCGTACTTACATGAGTGGAACATTTATGTATTTTCAATTTTACTGACACTTTTTAATTGTATTGAAATTCCATGTAGTAAAATGCTCTCTTACTTCAATGATTTATCGAGGAAAGTGCATATACGAATAACCACGAACTAATCAGTGATCATGACCATGAGTCACGAATAAAAGAATATTATTCCGGATTATCACGAACTAAAAAGTAACAAGTGATTATGGATCACGAATAAATAAATATTCTTCCACATAACCATGAACAAAACAGCGATTACGAGTCACGAATAAACGAATATAAACGAATATTATTCCAGGTTTGATGGCATGAAGCGCAGCTGGGAGTTCCTTGCGAGCATCGAGTAACGGGCTGTGTGGCTGCAGTGATCCTGTTTATCCACGGGGCTTATATGGGCAGCTTTAAAAACATTCTTAATGCCCTGGCAAAACAGCCCTCGTCAATGCCGCTTCTCTGCACCACGTAACATGGCATTATTGTGCACTGGTGTCGTCTTGTATAGAGTTTCAGCGCAGCGGTTAGTAGCGCCATCTAGTGGGGAAGTGAACTATGCAACTTCGGTACGTCTTTTTGGTATTACCTTGATACCGTCATATTTCTTTAATAACCTTTAGAAACAATTAATCTAATAACAATTAATTAATAAATAATCGTTTTTGTTGTACTTTGGTTTAGTTACGTTAGCGGCAGGCGATCAGGAATCGCTTCAGATTGTTTAAGAAATATAATCTTTGCAATTGTAATGAGAGTTTGGTAGAAGTACGAATTCTAATCTTTATTTTAATATAATGGAGAAATAACCATCGGCCATTGGGTAGGGTTATAAGTGAGCTCGTTCATGATTCACCGTTCATTTTTAATAAGGGCTATGGTATTCGCGACATGCCTGCAGTAGAATATCAAGTGAGCATCTGAGCCCATCGCTTGTATCTCCTGCCCTGCATATTCATGCGGTGACCCGCGCCATCACAAACTCAATTAATACACTCATAGACAGGTCAAATGTAGGAGATTTTTTTCAAGATTCTTCTTGTGAATGCTTCTTGATTTCTAGTTAGTCTATAAACAGAAAACTATTATTCTCTAGCAATTTACATGAAGTTTTGACTATTGTAGTTCACAGCACTTAGGTCTTATATTATTTTAATTATATATGATTACGCACGTGAAGCAAATAATGATATTATGTTAGTTATGCGGGCGTTTATTTTAACCCTGGTTGTTGATAGTATTATAATTGTTAAAGCAAAGCAGCAATTACTGCTATTACAGTATTACATGTATCACATACATTATATTTATTACTCACTATAAGAGTCGCCGATGAACCATTTTTCTTCACCAAAATCGGACCACAAAAAATGTAATTGTAAAACTATAGTATATAATTTATTATAATATTTTTACGATTGCTTGAGTATGCGCAAGTAACAATTGGATCTCAAATAATTTTAATTTCCTTTATTCATCAATAAATGAGTTATTTTTTAGATATAGTTTTGCGGTCAAAATAGCACGACGCTCGCTTGCTCCACATGCACTGACCATTATTAATAATTTTTATTGAGATTCGGGATAAAATTTACAGGCAGTAAAGTGAAATAGAACATCCTTTTGTAAGAATTAAGATAATATCTGATGATCTTTTGCAATTTTCGCAGAGAGATAAATTAGAATGGTTTAATTAGGAATTTATTGCATGAAATACGTAGAAGCTTGACAGATTAGGATAGTAATGTCCAAAGTTAACGATCAATTGTATTTATATTCTTCATTTACAATTATTTACGTAATTGTGTGAATTATTCACGTAAAGGCCAAAATAAGCGGCATATCTTTAATAAGTAACATAATATTATGTTCGATAAATATATCAAATGCTTGATAATCAAGCAGACATGTCTGGCAAGTTTTGCATTAAATTTTGTCAAATTGCTTCTTAAACTATTAGTTGAATTTTGTTTGTGTAAACTATTGCATATGTGACATTTTTTGTTAGATTGAGTATGTTTCGCTTTAAACACATACAATATACATTGCTTAATTCTACTTCCATTTCGATAGATTTGCAGACTGAGAGACTGGAAAAACCATTCATAATTTCATCATGAATGAGGATTAGAGGTTTTCGTTAGAGGTCCATTTTTAAACAAAAACAGAAAAATATAACACACCTAAATTTCAATATATAAATTAATATCCTTTCCTAATACATAACGAATTGTTACTCATTTTGGATTTGAGCATAAATGTCGATGAATTTATTTCGGTACTCTTATCAATTTCAATAATGATTTTTTTAATTGAAATGTCAAAATTTTCAGACTCCTAAAGATCAACGAATTATCAATAAATTGATAATATCAACGCGTCGTTAACAAAGTAGTAATGAACCGTAAATTGTCATTTTTAATTTTAATTGTCGAGTTCATTCTCATAGGCAATTAAATAAGAATTTTAAAACGCATCATCATGCAATGTAATTCTCAGTTTATAAATGTTCAGGGAATTTTAAATAATGAAAATGAACCGAGAAAATGTATAAATTAATTCGCAGGATTGCTTTAAGCTAAGTCTCTGAGCAATGTCTGTGAGAGAATAAAAATCACTCCTGATTTTTTTGTCATTCAGCGATTTTTCCAAAAATTCATTTCATGGATGTTAACAATATAAACAACTGAGTTGAATAGTATTTTAAGATTGACAGTCGTTCTTATCTCAAATACGTAGATATTTCAAAATATTTATAGACAACACTAGTTGGCTGTCTCTAGATTATTGCATTAAACATTTGTCTTGCAGACACCAAGAAGCGAGCTCTGAGAAGACCATCAGTCTCCCTCTGAGTCTTCGTTATGTGATGCCGTCATGTCGTCTGTAACGTTAATGTCTTCATCGTCAGAGAAGGAGGCTTCAGCGAGCGCGTGGCCTGCGTGGTCGGTCCTAAAGCCGCTGCTGAAGGCCGTAAGTCCATTGCCTGCGGTGCTGCTGCCGCCAACGAATGCTTCTCCTCCTCCCAACGTGGACAAGTTTTTGATTAAAAGCTTGGGTGAACTAGACGAAGATTGTGCGTTACTTCTACCGCCCCCGGAGCTGGAGTCTGAGGAACGACTTACGACGTGCGATAGCGAGAGTTGCGATGCTGTAATAAGCGATTCAATGGGCTCCCGTGGAGCTGAACATTCAACTTCGCTTTCCTCGGTGTATGTTGCTATGTCGCTCTCGAATTCACTTGTTCCTGCAGGAGTACTGCGATCCTCGTCGTCTCCCATATCTTCCACATCCTCTTGCTCACCCGACCTTTGTGCGTCAGAACTTACGAATGACTCACTAACGTCTGATAGGTCAGGGTTGGGATTATTTTTGTTGGGTAGAGTTTGTTCGCGTGAACCTCCAGTGGCCAGGAGCTCTCGTTCTTTACTATTGCGCCACTTCATGCGGCGGTTCTGAAACCATATTTTGACCTGAAATAAAAGATGAATTCGTTAGTAGCTCCACACATAAAAAGCACAAATTAAACAAATTTATTATAGAGGAACATGATAGGCTGCTATTTTAAAAATGATTTACTCTGTACAAAATTCCATTTCAATTCATAGGACCAAATTCTTAGCTGAACTAAACCATAGGAATTAGGTGCACATTTCTATTAAAGCGCTACCATTGTTCGTAGCCCACTGTCCCATTTAAAATTAAAGAAGTTACACAGAGATGCGCAGGTTTCTGTCGTGCGTAATTATGCAATTATTGCTTATTTAATGCAGGAACACAACAATTAAAGTAACAACAAACATGTCTATCGAACGAATATACGATCTGAAGCATAAGCCTCGATTTATCTAAGAGTTCATTAATTGGCGTGTTTTATGTTGCGCACATACGTACGCCCCAATTACGGAACAATTGACACCCAATTCATATTGACGGCAGTCGGTTGCTCATTTTCAGAAACAAACAACAAATGACACGTTATGCTTGGTGAAATTATTTAACTTTCACTGTTTTTGTATTCATGCATAAACTCTAACAACATAGAATTTTCTATTGAATTCTATTCGACTCGGTCGCATCTTGTTTTTCTCTTGACTGTTATTTTCCACAACCGCTCACTTCCGTTTCTCCGAGCCGTCCTCACTGCCGCCCTATGGCCGCCCCCACCGCTACCCCACCGTTGCCATACCGTCGCCCTACAGCCGCCCCACCGCCGCCCCACCGCCGCCCCACCGCCGCCCCACGGCCGACCCACCGCCGGCGCGTAATATATCGCGCGCGTGAGCGATGGAGCAGCGCAAGCTGACGACGTCGGGGGAGCGTCAGCTGGACACTCAGCACCGTGCTGACGCCAGCTCCTGGGCCGTGGTTGTTGAAGCATAACAGACGCGGCTTCAGCGAACGATATGGATATATTTACGTAAGAAATAACAACTGCTAGAAAAATAACAGCGAACAATAGTGTATACGGCAATAGAGTCTACCAGAAAAAGAAAAATTTAAGCAATGGTTGGCGACGTAGAAACAGCTTTAAGATGTGGCAAACAGCAGCATAGAGTGCAAACAGAAACAGCTGTAAGACGCGGCAAACAGCAGCATGAAGTGCAGACAGAAACAGCTGTAAGATGCGGCAAACAGCAGCATAAAGTGCAAACAGAAACAGCTGTAAGACGCGGCAAACAGCAGCGTGAAGTGCAAACAGAAACAGCTATAAGACGCGGCAAACAGCAGCATGAAGTGCTAACAGAAACAGCTGTAACACGCGGCAAATAGCAGCATAAAGTGCAAACAGAAACAGCTGTAACACGCGGCAAACAACAGCATAAAGTGCAAACAGAAATAGCTGTAAGACGCGACAAACAGCAGCACGCAATGCAAACAGAAACAGCTGTAAGATATCTGGAAAGAGCAGAACAGAATGAAAGCAGAAACGGCTGTAAGACGCGGCTAATATACGCAAGAAATTTGCACACCGCAGTAAGATGTTTATATGGGTATCAACATTGGCAGAAGTATCGGTATCAAAATTCACAGAGGCATCGGTATCATCACCAACAGCAGTATTGGTGCCAAAAGCAACAGCAGCATCGGCACCATGGAATAGCAGCAGCAGCATTGATATCAAGAGCAGCAGCGGCAGCGTCAGCTCCATCAACAGCAGCAGCATGGGCACCTACAGCAGTAACAGCAGCGTTGGCCCCACTAACAGCAGCAGCGGCAGCAGCAGCATCGGTACCAACAGCACCAGCAGCAGCAGCGTCGGTCTCACCAACATCAGCACCATCAGCACCAATAGCAGCAGCAGCACTGGTGTCAAGAGCAGTAGTAGCGTCGGCCCCACAAATAGCAGCAGCAGCACCGGCACCAACAGCAGCAACAGCATCGGTATCAAAAACAGCAACAGCGTCGGTCCCACCAACAGCAGCATCGGTACCAACAGCAGCAGCAGCATTGGTACTAATAGCGGCAGCACCATCTGCCCCACAAACAGCAGCAACAGCGTCGGTCCCACTAACAGCAGCAGCAGCAGCATCGGCACCAACAGCATCGGCTCCAACAGCAGCAGCAACAGCAGCAGCATCGGCAGCGGCAATCAATATGCTGCAGACGTGGCGCGGCCCGTCGCCGCTATGATAAACGGAGTGATATCGAACTAATACGACCGTAACGGGCCACTCAATGCGATCGTCGGTAACGGTTCCTGTCGTCGATAGCGGCTTAGCCAATAACTTCTCGACAGGAATAAGGCTGTAATGCATAATGCATTAACTTATGATTCCAGTAATTATAGAAAACTAGCATGTACTAATAAAATCTACGCTACACCAAAACAGACAATCGAAGTGAGTGACAGATTCCCTCAGAAATCTCGAAGGCTACCTAGAGTAAGTGCCAAGGTATGATCACGACAAATTGTATCTTCGTGGCCTGATTTTCTGTAAATTACCGGATTTCTCGAAACAGCAGAACGAAAATATGCTAATTTCTCAGGGCAGTTAGCTTCATGTACAATCATGAGTTGTGAAGATTTATAGTCCACAGAAATTAAAATTCAGGAATTCAGGAATGTGGGTAAACTCCACACAGTCCACGTAACAGTAGAAAAAAGGTAACTCGAGACTAGCAGACTAAAGGAAAGTGCTTTAGAAAGGCAAAGGCGTGAAGTAAAATTTGAATTGCCGGCAGAAATGCTAGATAATTAATTTCTAATGTCATTCCATAATAATAATAAGCCAACGACGCAATGACGATTTTTTTTCGTTTGTAACATAATACTGTCAGAAAAGAATTCTTTTCCTCACTATGAAAGTTTTTCAGTCAATGAATCAGTAACGTATGCTTACACTTGAAATTAAAATCAAGAAATTATAAAAAAACGTATTTAATTCTGATTGTTTAAATGAAATTCGGGATATGGATGATATGGTAGAGTCATATCAGACGGCGATTAAGTTCATCAGAACGAGTTTAACTTCAATTAAAAATTTTTACAATGTAGAGGATCTCTTAGATAATAATCGGCGTTCCATTAAATTTTGGATCTGGATATTAAATGCATCAGGCAGCAAACCATATTAGTAGTTGTAATAATCACAAACGCGACTTAAAATTCTATTAAACCTGCAAAAACATTATAGGAGACCTTCCAGATTTTAATCGGCATTCCATTATATTTGGGGTCTGGATGAGGCGGCAATCAAGGCAATCGCGTGCAGTTGTGCCTGAGGGGTGAAGAGTCACCCGCGCGCCTGTGTCTGGCAGATCACGTGCGGCCACCCCTGCCCTGATCTGCCTTAAGCCGCCCTCCCTCATCGGCAGCGCCACTTCAACGCTCCACTTCCTTTACAAATATCCCACTTATTGCTTCCCAAAATATGAACCTAAATTCAGCATGCGTAATGCCCACAAATCTACTAGTAATCATTTATTGTTGGCTTTAAAATTTTTTGGATTCGTGTTTGGTGTCATACACGTAGTGAAAGTTACTTGTTAATAAAATATAGGTTTCTGTTCGGGTAGTTAAATATGGCGAATCGAAATTTTATAATTTTTAAATTCCTGCGATTCAACCTTGTTAAATTTCTCTTCAATTTTCTAATCATTAATTCTATATAGTTGAACCAGGTGCACTAGAACTTTTGTACACAATGTTTGAAATCCTCACGTTATTTATTTTTTAGATAGAGATCGTGGCGTTTTCATCTGAAGTATTTGTAATTCAAGATGTGTTCAGATCTGTTCCACATATTATTAAAGAACTGTATATTATTTTTATTTTCCGTCAAACAGACCATTAAATAATGCTTTATTTGGTTGCTTATTCGTCAAACAGCTAATTAATGAAAATTTTTTATACTCATCTGTCCAACATCTCAGTACAGAACACTACATTTATTGGCTCATCAGTCACCAGCTCATTAAATATCAGTTTATTTATTGGTTTATCCCGATAATCGCTCAGTAAAGAACAGTTTATTTATCTGCCTATCGATTTACAGTTTCGGTTAACTTATGATTAAATTGAGGTGTGCTGTCATTGCGACGATTAGACAAATTTAATTTCTTAATATTTTTTCAATCCTTAATTTCATATCAATTTAGACACGCAAAATGTGGCGCAGATTTTCATCCCGTATCATGTAAAGGAATGGAAGGTCGGAGAATGAAAGCGTAACTAAAAATAACTTTACTAACACCAATAAATAAATGATTACAAGTTTTTTCAACGGGAATTTTATAAATCAGGGCGAGTTTTGAAAGTATGGCCCCTGCAAAAGTCTTAAAGAAGCCACGTTTAAATTTCAAGTCTGATAAGTTAAATTCTACGAGCAGACCAACTCGATCAGAGGTTGATATTTTGCTGACATGTTGGGAGTTTTAAGCGAATAATGAACAATTTGTTAATACTAGATGGTTTTAAACCTATTATGTATCGTTAATACATAAGATTAATATTTTTCAAAGTTGATATAAAATAAAAACCATTCAATCGGTTTATTCCATGGTAAACAAATTGATTATATTTCGGGCTATTTGATGCAACGAAATGATCTCCTCATTCTTGCAACTAAAAAAATTATTAATTTATCAAGAGAAACATTTAACATGACAAACTCTCTTACCTTTAAGCCTTCTCTTATTTTTCCTAAAGCCTATTTTATTATTGAAGAAATTATACGATGACATTTCGCCGCAAGCTGCAACACTTTATAAGTGATTCCAATCCAATCACATTGAAAAGGGTTAACAATGGTATTGCTAATCTTCGTTGTTAATCAAAGGTTACAATTAGAAATTTTCCAACTAACAGCAATCACATGAGCTTGTTGCTTCTAAAAATCTGGCACATTTTTGAGTTACGATTTGACGTCAATCTCGTCAGCATTGCAAAGTTGATACAACTAATTTAGACGGCTCTCCTCAAGCCTTTGCAACAGTTTTCATAATTTGACATTTATCGAGCCTCTGAAACATTGATCTCGGTCTTATATATGACACCAGTAATACGAATCCCGTCATTCCTGCCTCATTTTCTATCAACAAATATAATCTCATCAGAACAAGTTATACTATAATACCGATGTGGCGTATAGATCGACCACACATCGAGTTTTTATTTGATACGCGCGATTTTTCGACACCAGCAGCTGGCAATCAAGCTTGTCCAACAGTTTTTAGACGGCTTTTCTTTCGAAGGCGAGCTGATCACGCGTACAGGAGATATTTTTAATATGATCACATTGCAGGTGGCATTGTATTGGCCATCAGGATCGAGCATTTCATGATCGGACACTGGATTTCTTTGAAGAGAGATTCGGATATATTAACATAACATTTTGAATCCATTCAAGACAAATGTATGCCCATCGGAAATTTAACAGCAGTTTAGCATAAAAAAATGTTTAGGCAATTTCTCCACTCATGTTTTAATTTGTATCACTAGGGTGCGAACGTCGCTACATTGAAAATCATTCGGATATTCATCTTGATCACCGTCAGTGCAACAACCATCACCATCAGACAACCTCCATATTAAACATTATCGGTCTTGTGATATCACTCACTTTCACCATTAAAAATGCTGCTCTCATCACCCTAAACACCATCATTATAGCGACCTCATCAGTAGCATTATTATTAGAACATTATAATTTGCAGCAGACACCCTCCACAATATTGACTATAAAGTCCCTTCACCAACCACCATTACCACCGTCATTCATAACAATCACCACTTTAACCACCGTCATGACAATAACCACCACTTTAATTAAGTACCATCATCATATCACTAACCACCTCTTTACCCATCATCATAATACCAGCCATCGTTTTAACAACCATCAAATCAACAACCACCACTTTATTCACCTTCACAACACCAACCACCGTTTTAACTACCATCGTACTATCAACCGCCACTTTAACTACCATCGTACTATCAACCGCCACTTTAACTACCATCGTACTATCAACCGCCACTTTAACCACCGTCGACGCGGCTCTGCCCCAGCGCCGGCTCTGTGCCGCCCCAGCGCCGGCCACTACATATTCAGTGCCATCGATCCCAGTGTTGTGCAGATGACTTCAATGGAACTAAAAGATAGACGCCCGAGCTGGTGGTGCCTATGATGGTGGTCGTCGTGTTGGGGTAATAAAGATAACAAACGGGGAAATATTGCGTGCGCTGCAATTTTCCCCTTGAGTAAACTTTGTGGTAAAACATTGAATCTGGATTGAAGCAGACACGAGATACGTTGCAAGATTACGTACCGCGTGAAAGTCGCAAGAGATTAAGGCTTTGTATTTATTAATATAATTATTGGGAATGAGCGATAGCTTAGGTGAATAATGAAAGCTGCGTCTGTGACTGGCTGAGTGCATTACGGTTGTGGAAACATGCGAGAGGGAAATTATGACGTCGAGCGAACAATTGTGCTCGCGAATACGCTCTGAACTGCTAAAAATTTTCATGCTAAACCAAAATTTAAAGTGAAATGCTACATTAAATTTTTTGAAAATATTCTTTCTTAAATATCGAGAGGATTTAAATGATGCTCGAATTATATCCAAACCGAGAGGAGTGACCATGTAGATTACTTTAATTTCGCGGTTAAAATGAATTAAACTTGAATTTTGAATTAAATTGCGTATACCTGAAAATTCACATAGAGAGGTAGTTCTGACAAATCCTTGTCAGATTACTTAGTATTAGGCTGAAAATATTATCACGATGTAAAAAATTACCAACTCAAAATAGTTCATTCCCGGAAGTGTTTGCGTGCCGCCTTGATCGCCCCTGAGCACCACTGGGGAGACCTACCGAATTTTGAGAACCAATGGCCAAGAGAAACTGATCTAACACTTACATAGTGTATTGCCATTCGTTATCATACACTCCTTAATTTTGGTAATAAATTTGGTATAATTTCAAGTGTAAAGTACTTAAAATAAAATCGTTCTCAACTAATTATCAATACCAAGAATTTTCGTTCTAGGGTAGCTTAAAAATTCTGTTGCATCAATTTTTTTATGCCCACAGATTCTGAATCTAATAGATATATTTTCGTGTGCAACGTTAACTTAAACAATTAGTGTGTGAGCTCTCACCTGAGAATCTTTAAGTCCGAGTTTTTCAGCGAGCTTCTTGCGATCAGGTTTACTGATGTATTTCTGTAGCTGGAACCTGTCCTCGAGCCCCTTCCTCTGGAAGTCGCTGAAGACGGCGCGGCGCAGCATCCCGCGACGGGGCTTGCCACGCACACCCACGCCCATCGCGGCCCAGGGGAAGCTGCTCGGTAGTGGCACCCCTGCCATGCAACCCCCCATGCTCGTGTAAACTAAGAGCACGGGCCAATGCCATATTTTAATTTAGATTTACGAAGTGCATTCGATTATATCCTCAATATTTTATATTCATTCAAGTATTGGATAGGATGTTCGTGTAAACTAAGAGCACGGGCCAATGCCATATTTTAATTTAGATTTACTGAGTGCATGCGAGTATATATTCAATATGTTATGTTATTCCGGGTATTGGATAGGATGCTCGTGTAAACTAAGAGCACGGGCCAATTACATATTTTAATTTGAATTAACGGAGTGCATATGAGTATACTGTATATTCAATTTTTATGTTATTTCAGTTATTGGATATAGTTTGCCCGAGCATCCTATAAAGCACGGGTCAATTCCATATTTTAATTTGAATTTACGGAGTGCTTGCGATTATATATTCAATATTTTATGTTATTTCAGGTGTTGGATAGGATGCTCGGGCAGACTAAGAGCACGGGCCAATTCTGCATTTTAATCGGAATTTGCAGAGTACATGGTAATCATAATATATACCAGATATTGTATTATTATAGATATTAGCTATATTATTTTCCAAATAATTATTTATGGATAAAATTATATATTAGGGAGAGATTTTTTGATTACATATTAAGAATTAAGAATGTGTTACTTTTTATTGTGGATATTTAATGAACTTCGAACTTGCTGAGTGAAATACCGTATTTTAATTATGTCAGATCCGGGTGTGAATGGGGATGATTATCCTAAACGAATAATCAATTAAATAATCAATTAATAAATAATAATAAATAATAAATAATGAAAAACATAATCTAAATGATTATGTGTTATATTAGAACTAAAAAATCAAAGCCTCAAACGTAATACAAGGAACAATTATTCCAATTGGGACTCAAGTCCAGAGAATAGTTCTTGTGAAAATATTTAGCGGGGCAGAGATGGTACAATTAAGTGCAGTGTTATCTAAAAAACAAGAATTCGACGATAAAACGTGAAGAAAGGAACTAAAAGAGACATAAGCTACTGCGAAAAAAGGTGTTTTTGATTTTTAAATTTGATTCACCAAATGAAGATTATTAATAAGAATTTCGAAATAAGTAGTTATTTGTGAGACGCTAATTGAATATAAAATACGAGAAGAGTACAAATCGCTCATTGTAACGAAAATTGATATAAAGAGAATATAAAGAGACACCAGTTAAATATAAATAAATAAAAAATAAAGTACCTAAAAATTATTTTCAAACAAGGCCCCTCAGCGCTGTGATAAAGAAATGAATTAAGAAAGTGAAACACGTGAAGAAGCAAAAATATTACGAATGCAATCCTGCGTCTCACCGTTGAGGTAGGGAGGTCGACATGCCAGCAGGGGCTGCAGGGGAGAGTGTAGCAGGGGACGCGGTCTGGCCAGCGGTGGGGGACCTAGGCTGAGATGGGGACGGTCTAGCAGGCCCCCGGCACATGAGGTCGTCACCACAAGACCTCCCCCACCTATCATTGGTCCTCCTCCTTCTGTTGGGGAATGATTTAAGTGTGAGAATCAACCCCCAAATATCGAGTGTAACCCCCACGCATTATTGGAGCTATTCCTCCTGTTGAGGGGATGATTAGATTGCGATTATTAACCCCCTAATATCGGATGCATTATGCCACAAAAATTACTTTTACAAAAAAAGATATTGCCTGAAATATTCGAGACCGTCAAGTGAACTGCGTTGGCAGTTGCCGCGGCAGAACAAGTCAATTAATTGGTACCAGTGTACCGAATTAGTGTCATGTGTACTAATTAGGGTACTAATTTGGCATCAGTGTACCAAATTAGTGTATTGTGTACTAATTGGTGAACTAATTTGGCACCAGTGTACCAAATTATATAGTGTACTGTGAATGTTCCAAAGTGTATTAGAAATTTCTTTAATATCATAAACATAGCAATATTACAGGAATAGTTGCTATTGAGGAAAAAATGCTATAAAAATTCTCTAGATGTACAATATTGGCCAACCATTGAATCTATAAAATCGTAACGCTCAAAGCTCCTACATTGCAGCAAATTCCCATAAGAGCAATGGAGGTCAGATGGAGCTTTTGTTTTGAGAAAGAAAGATACTCCAGTACTACACAAAGTTTAGAGGCCTGAAGTTATTGTATCCGAGCGATTGCTGAGTTCGATCCATTTGTCTTACTTAGATTAAGAGACACTCTACCGGTGCACAATAAGAGCATTCATTAATGATACGGATACGTAGAGATTTCCTGGCAGTGATATAGAGACGTGGTGATATCCCAGCAGTAGTTACAGATGTTATGGTTAATTATACTTAATTATGGATGCTTAGAGATACTCTATATATTGTAGGAGTGATATGGATATCATTGGAGACCCCAGCAGCCCTAATGGAAACTATAGATGATCTCGCAGTGATATGGATACTTAGAGAAACCCTAATTTAGATATGGAGAATTAGATGTCCCAGCAATAATGTTGAGAGCTGGAAGCGTGCCATCACTGCCATGATGATCTAATGATACTACAGCAATGCTACAGGGAGTCAAATGAGTGCCAGCAATATTATTGAAACCGATGCTCTACGCAGGCCCAGCGTGGTGAAAAGCAGGGCTCAGCGCCTCTCCGGGCTGGGCCCAGTGGCGCTCAGAGTTGGGCCCAGTGGCGCTAGGAGCTGAGCTTAGTGGCGCTTAGAGCTGGGCCCAGTGGCGCTCATAACTGGGCCCAGTGCCGCTCAGGTCTGGGCCCAGTGTGGCCCAGAGCTGGGCCCGGAAGGCACTTGGCGAGAGCGGTAATTGGCTTGAGTGGCAGCGAGCGGTCCGCTTAATTAGCGACCACAGGCCTGACGCAGGAGCTGTCACCGACACCCATGCGGGAGGGTGGGTGAGGTGGGCAACCTCGTGCTACGCGCTGCTCATTGTTAGCGGTCATTTGTTCGATGATGACTTCGGGGGTAACTCAATCAAGAATTATTGATCGTAGCTCAGGCGGTAAACATACTTTCGCGACCAGAGTTCGCTGTTTGCACAATGTATTGTTATTAAGTCACGTGTTCTATGTCCGCATTGTTGACAGACGTTTATATTAATGTACAACTGATATTTGACTGTGGTCAAATATCTATAGATTTGATGGCAATTGAAGTCTTTCTTTGCCAAAGTTGTAAATGACCGGAAAATTGGTCTCAAAAATGGAACTGAACAAAATCGGCTGCTTCTTGAGCAACAGCCAAATGCATAAATAATTTTCGAATATGTTTTATAGAACAACAAATCAAATAAATAGTTGAACTCAATATTGAGCATTCTTTTGGACGCTTCAATTTATTTTTTTTTCGAATGAATTAATTTGAAATTCCGTATTAAATATAGAGATTAAATACAGATACCTTTTCATGTGTCTTTCATCAGTTTGGTAAATACATTAGTATTCATTCGTGGCTTTTCTGTAAATTATTTAGTCAATTGTAAATTATATGGGCAAGTGTCATGTATCTTTTAAAGGAGCGTGGAAACTGGAAAACATATAGAATATGCTAACTTTATTCTTAATCTTCGTTGCGGAATCGAAAAGTTTTTTTTTAAATTACAGGGAACGATGTGACACGAACCATTTTTGAAGTGTTGAACCTTATTACATAAGAAAATGAACCACTTTCTTGTTATACAACTTATTGATATAAAAGAAAAGCATGGGAACAAGGTGCTTATTGAAGGAAAATTCAAATTGATGAACGTAACCTTGAGTATCACAGATAGATACTCTAAATAATAGAAAAAATCTATCTAAATAATAGATAGATACTCTACTAAAATAGAAACTTTCTAATGATCTGTCTCGAAAATTCATCAGTATATTTGGTGTACAGTCAAAACGAGGCGCAAGTGAAAATGAGATTAAATTTAACCAGGCTATAGATCCTCAAGTTTTACATTCACAGAATTTTTTTAGAATAATTTTTGAGAACCTTAAGAAAATATTTCTAACGTAAATTTGTGTGAGCGAGGGTTGCACAAACTAAACGTTTCCCCTCTCAAGGAATCTCGAAGGCTGCGGAGGGCGCAGCTAATCTGCGTCGAGGCTTTCCCCCCTGCAAGAACAATCGCTGGCCGACGATAACACGGCGATTATTTCACATTAAATGATGTTATCAGACCCCAAAAACGAGGCGGGGAGATAGTGGCGACAAATAAATTGTTGAAGAATTTAACAAACTTTAAAAGCCAATTCTTTTTGCTCATTGGAAGATTTCAATGAATTTAGGTGCATGCAAAAGTTTCAATCTTAATATGTGTAGTAATGCAGAAATAAGACGATAAAAAGTATCAATTTTTAGTAACATTTCAGTATCATGATAAAAATGGTAACGGTCAGAAGTTAACGGGAAATAAACCAGAAACAATTATTATTCGAATGGAAGTGTGAAAGATACGCTGCAAATTAGGAAGAACAGCAACATAATAGTTAGTAATAATGTTCATAATAAATTATTTTCATGATGTTGACGTATTGTTTCATTGTTATCGATGCGCTGAGCAGCATTCATCCGAGGACATCTACGATTAACGCGAAAAAGTAATTCGAGAAGTATTCCAATTCAAAAAATTTTATAAAAAAACTGAAATAAAAGCTCTTACTCAAGTCGAAATTAAGTCCAAAATTTTGATAGTGCACCCCTATATTGCTCAGTAATTAAAGACGCAGCGATGTTGTTCTTCAATTAAATTATAAAATATAAAGAAGGAAGTCCCTACGCTAGCGACTTAAAAAATGTGATTTCTTCAAGTATCGTAGCTTATATATATTGAAATCCATAGTAGAGACAATATGAAAACGCAATTAAATCCTGAATTTTCGGAAAGCTAATGAATTTTATATTTTTAATGTTGAAGGTTGAAAAACAAATCCTAAATTCTGATCTAACGAAGATCAGGATTTTGGATTTGTTATGTATAATTTTCATTCCGGATGTAATGGAGTTTAAAAATTTTATTTCGTGACTTTACTCGAAATATTCAAGCACATGAACATCAAGATGATTTTCACAATTTATGACGATAGACAAAGTAAAATAATAGAATTAAACTATATTACAACAATAATCTAAATGAACTACATTATTTACATTAATAATTTTGTTACGGGACGATTTTTAACCAAATGTTATAATAAAGTTATGACTTAATCCATTTATTAGTAGTTAGTATTATTTAACAAGTCAGAGATTCCATTGTTTTTGAAAGATGTTCGATCGCATTTGTTTTACGATAAATTCTCATCGTGTTGAATATCCTTTACAAAGGAACCAAACACAACCGGCTACTGCAACTTTTTGTTGAATTGGCTTCTCGTAAGAGCGAGCTAAAAATTCAACACCGCATAATATTCGACTAGATATGTACCGTTTCCATGTGCGTCACTCACTTTATTCTCATACACTCGACGTTTGTCTCTTAAATTATGCATGCTGCATTATGAGATTTATAGAGATGTATCGTTCGAAGTTATTGGAAAGATTCAACGTTATCAACCTTTGTTAGATTCAATTACGACTGATTCTATTCTCACTAATTTATCATTTATATCACACTCCTCTAGCCACATCAGCCACAGAGACCAGAAGATATTTTTCTCAGATATCTTGTCACACAAAAAATCGACTAACGTCCCATATTTAACAACATTTCGTCCTATCGATTACAGACGAGGCTAGCTTACAGAAAGTGAGCTCAAAAGTCCCTCCAAAGTAACAAGTCCTTCAAAGTAAAACTCACCGTATTCCTGAGGCTGCGGCGTGCCTGCGGAGCTACGCGAGTCTTCGCCCAGAATCGCAGTCACGGAGAATTTCAGTGGGGCTCGTTGGTTGAGATTCGGGTTGTGATGAGGAGGACTAGGACTTGTATCTTCCACGCACATGTTCGGGTCGTCAGACGTGGTGCAAATTGTGTTCCGAGGGATGGGGGAAGGTGTGGAGCCTCTGTTGTTAGGACTAAGTCCTTCTTGGGGCGGTGGGGGGACCGTGCGACTCAGAAGACCTAAGTAATGACGCGCTGCTTCTTCTTTGTAGAACTCCATCTGCTCCTCGTGTGACAGCATGAAGCCTCCTCCAGCTACACCAGTACCTGTGCTTGTGGTGACGGTTGGCTTGGTTGCAACGGGTCGCGCGAGGTGGTAACCCCGCTCCCTGAGGAGCGTCTCCACCAGGTAGGACTGAGTCGTGACGCAGCCCGGCAGCGGCGGCAGCTGCAGAGGCTGCAGCGACCCCAGCAGCGTGTGGTGGCTCAGAGGGCGCAAGGAGTTGCTTAGGAGACTAGCGGTGGCCGATACAGGGATCATGGTTACGCTCTTCTCAACGAATTAAGTAGAGTTTATAGAAGGTAAGAATTAGTCTCACGTGTTTAAATCAAAACGATGAGATGTAATTAGTGGTCTATTCAAATATTGAGCGACAAATGCTAGGTAAGCGGTGCAATATTAAATTATTTCTAGTCTTGAACGAACCTAATGTTAAATGAAAGAGCGCGTTAAAACTTCAGGATTTTAATCCCATAACAAGGCTCGGTTATGATATAAACGGTTGTATTTTGTGATTTTCGGTAGAGCTTATGTCGCTACATTAACAAAAACTTTTGCTGGCAGAATAAATTTTAAATATCCTATAGTTTTGAATTCCCAACACACTGTCCATCACTTCGCAGACTGCCGACAACAAGGAACTGCTCTCATGAGGGCACTGTACTGCAGCACTTCAAATTTGATGTTTCTCGTTCGCCACCGAAAGACAAAGTGGCGACAAGGCCGCTGTAGAAAGCCTTCCTTCCAGCGAGTCCTGCTCGGCGGTCACCAGACTCTGTGACATCGTCGTCACGTCACGACCATCACTTCCAGTTTTCAGCAATAGCTCCTCCCTTGAGATCAAATTTGGCCGGGACGCCCGCCTCTTTATTCGAGTTTTTGAGCTACCGGCAGAGACTCCACCTCTGCAAATATTTTTCTCTGAAATCTCAGCAATTTTATAACGAGTCCTCGGTGCTTGCAGCGCTGGCCTCCCGGACATTCCAGCTCCTCCTTCGATCCCGCCCAGCTCTGGAATGGGATCAATGTGCTCAGCAGAAATGGTTCCATTGAAGACATTACCTCATGCTCCATTTACACTTCTAATTACCTTAACACGGCGACCAGGCCTTTTGAAAGGCTCTAGATTATGCGGCTAAATGAGCACATGAGTAGACAAACCTAGCCTTCAAGAGCCTTGTATTGTCTGGTGTCGCCAGCGAACGATCTCCTTGACTCCATCCTTCGTATGCATGCCGAGTGCTGATCGTGCCATCAGCATCGTTAGTCATAGAGTTTTAACTATAAACAAAACATGAATAGAACGCGGCTAATTAGTTTCCTGAATGAACAACATTGGTGGTAAATACTTATTTTTAATAATATTACTAATATACCAAACAGCTGAAAAGTAGCTGTAGAGTTTAAATAGCTTTAATTACCAATTTATCTGTACAACACTATATCAATTACATAATAAAATAACTCAATAATATGTAATAATGTATCTTCCCATACAATGTCTGATATTTCTAGATCAGCGATTGGTCAATTATGAGGCCGAGAGGAGCATGTGCAGCCAATAAGAGGTCGTCTTGCATGAGGTCTCGGGCTGCGCGCTCCCTGTAATGACGGTCAAGCTTTGTTTTCTTGCTCAGCCTTTGTTGATACTACGGCATTTGGAGGCCATTATGTGGTCAACTGACACGAACGCACCACTTCACAGTGATTATGCGGTCAACTGACACGGACGCACCACTTCACAGTGATTATGTGGTCAACTGACACGAACGCACCACTTCACAGTGATTATGTGGTCAACTGACACGAACGCACCACTTCACAGTNTTCTGGTCTACTGATGGATATAAGGGATATTCTGGTCTTCTGGTGGATATAATGGATATTCTGGTCTACTGATGGATATAAGGGATATTCTGGTCTTCTGGTGGATATAATGGATATTCTGGTCTACTGATGGATATAAGGGATATTCTGGTCTTCTGGTGGATATAATGGATATTCTGGTCTACTGATGGATATAAGGGATATTCTGGTCTTCTGGTGGATATAATGGATATTCTGGTCTACTGATGGATATAAGGGATATTCTGGTCTTCTGGTGGATATAATGGATATTCTGGTCTACTGATGGATATAAGGGATATTCTGGTCTTCTGGTGGATATAATGGATATTCTGGTCTACTGAAAAAAATGAAATGGATATTCGGATCCTTCGATGCAAACGCTCACTGATAATCTTTAAGCAGTAATCCCTCTTTACATGACTGTAGAAATAATGTTTGCTTGGTAGCATGATCGTTTAAAGAAAATAAATTGCAAAGCATAAAACACCAACGTTATTTAATTTCATTGAAGCGGTATTGCATTCAAATAACTTTTAAACGCTTTCCAAGCAGCCAAAGGATCTTATTTTTGTAAATAAGAAGATTAAATATTAAAGAGTTTTTGAATTTGATCAAAACTCCCAAATGAACTGGGACTCTTTCTTTCGAAAGCATATGCAAGTAAATGCGAATTCATTTCAAGCTGCACGCATCAATGCTGCATCCTGCAGAAGATCGATCATTGGTTTGGGTTTAACGTATATATTTCGAGATATGAATAATGATCAAACCGAGTAATGATTTTATCTTAATAAATTGATTCGTATTCATCATTCTTTATTTTGTGGTTAAAGCTACTATACCAAATTTTGCTCATAAATGGGCTCTTGAGCTACAAGTATCATAATCTTGAAGATAAATGAACTATGTTGAGTGTTGATGCTCTATATCAAAAGGGTAATTCGCTTTTTCTTGCTATTGTGACTCTATCATAAAATTATATACCCTGATAGAAGGTAAATAAATTATTCATTAAGGAGGAAGAATTTTCCATCACAATGGCTAGACTTTAAACCTCTAAATCAGCATGAGGAGTCTCACAAGGATTAAGCGGAGGAACTGATTGCTAAAAAGCCCTTATTGTTTTTATTTTTCTAAGGGCTTTTATGCTGTCTGCGAATAATAATATAGATATTATCATATTAGGTAATTTAAATCATTCATTGACATGGGTGTTTTTTTTCCAGTGTTGCATTCTAACGTAGTTTGCCTATTAATGAAGCGTTGAAATCATATGAGTAATTTTGAGTAGGTTTAACTGGTATTATAAAAAAAATTAGTGTCTACAATTGTTAAAGTCCTGGTCCAAATTTATTCACGTGCGTGAGTATTTACAACATTGCACCTCACGTCAAAATTGTAATTAACTCTACGGACACAACAACGAATGTTTTGTTTACTTTACATGCAGTTGGCACATTACATTATTTGGAATTATTTTACATTATTCACCTAAAGGAAAGAGAACTAGGAAAGAGAAAAATGAATTACTTCGAGTCTTTAATCATCGCACTTATCTATTATGACATTAACAATATTATCATTTTTTATCATTGTAATTATCCGAATCAATCATTTTTCTTGATTATTTCTTCTGTATAATTCGTTCTCAGTTCTTTTATTTTCATTGAACTTCGTAAATTAGAAAAATGGTGATGTTCCTGCATCGCTGTAGCAGTCATAGCTAATGTAATGTTCACTTATTTCTAACAAAAATTACGCTCCCAGCAAAACACTTTTCAGATATATCACTATTATGACGCTCCTCGAGTTCAATTAAACTGGCTGTGGCACTTATTAATTTTATAGAAATGTGCTTGTCAAGTTCCGTTCCATATTTCGCCGCGACGTCGCTCAATGAGCCGTAAGCGAAGAGTTATTGCTAACAAACACAAGAAACTTGGCTCTGGAATACCTCAGGTGTCATCATACATTTGTTTTATTGGCGATCTTATGAGGCAGATTTTTGTGAAGTTCTTGCACAGACGGCGGTCATAATGCGCCAGTTTTTACATTTGTAGTCGCCGTTGGGTCAAAAGCTCAAAGTGCTCTCAGTAAACCAGCATTTATGTCCATGCTAGAGCCGACATCGCAACGCAAAGTTCATTCTAAGTGGACCAGAAGTTGAGGTCAATAGAGTCTTTTAGTACAGCAAGGGCTTCTAGGATGCCTGAAACGATAGCCTCTCTAGTTTGCCTAAGTTCAGAAGTGCTCCGCATTACAGTGTCGGCAGCACCAAAATAACGCCATCTCGAAACCCTGGTCGTCATAAAAGCAACTTACATATCAGCTTCGACTTCGGTCGCCGCCATAGTAATGAGAAGAAGCCGATTTGTTGTTGCCTTGGCCAGAGTGTATTAGGTCTCTCTATCCTCTCGGTTTAATAAAAAATGCAAAACAGGTTCGAGCAGACGCAAGTTTAGCGAGGTTGCGTCTTTGAGGCTAAAGGATGGTAACGGTTACGACTGTTCTCAACAAGAGTCGTTTGGTGCTTGACTTGGGGCCTTTCGAAGCTAACCTTAGCCCCCCTCATGCTCCCATCTGCCCTCCGTTAGTGACTTAAGAAAACATTCACATGAATTTTATCTTCATGTATGCACATTAGTAAGATGGTTAAAATTATCTGTGGTACACATGGGCAGCGATCAACAATAAAAAAAAATTTATAATGGTCGATATTGGCGAAGCGCAATTAAATTCAATTCTAAAGAATTTCCTAAATTAGAAATTTGTAATATTCGTTTTGTGCATAATATGGGTGCGTAAAGTAGTATTTTTTTGTTCACAAGGTGAAGTATTTGCACATCAAAATCAGTAAAAATTTAGAAAAAAAAATTTTGTCACAACAGCAATCAATTTCTGCAAAATTTTCGGTTTTTAACAATGTCGACTATACTATTATTTCAATTATTGGCTTTGTTTTTTGACCAAGATAATAATAGAGAGTGCAATGCCGAACAGAGATGATGATATAAACTATAAATATATTATGTAGAGCATCACGGCCACACCGAGAGAGTAACAGTCGCAATGCATCATTGCAAAAGAGGTGATATTTGATTAACCAAATTATAAATTTTGACCTCCTCCAGCTACCTATAAATGAAAATATCAACAGCCCGATTTTTTCTGCTATCTTTTTATCGATAATGGAACAAAATTTAGGGATTTGACATTGAAAATAAAATTTTTCCTTCATACAAAATAAGAACCACCCTAGTTGATATATTACTATCATAAAGAGTATTAGGAGTAAATTTTCACAGAATTCGAATTACAAACTTTGTTATAAAAGTCAAAACGGTCTTAAGTTTGATCGTCCTTGTAGCCATCCAAATCAGTTTCCAATATGCAAACTTCATCATAGCTTAATTTAAGTTTGCATCCCCATGTTCAAACTCTCAAACTTTGCGAAATTAGCTAAAAAAATCAATTCTCGGCCGATTTAGATTGCTTGACAAGCTCTGTCGTCACTATTACGCCTATACACCAGGCACATGTCTTCGACTGAGAGGAAGAGATGCAAGTTTTATAGGTTTCTTACTTATCTCTTACTAATTAATCCGAAATCGAGATGAGGGACAGTGCAATTACCATTATCATGCAGAAAGAAAATGTATTATCAAAACCTTCTCGAAAGGTTTACATGACATGTTTAATGCATTTGAAAGGTAACACTCTATGCCGAGTAGGTTTTCTTTAAAAATTAAAAAGTGCTCAAAGAAATGCAATCAAAACCTAAACAATATTCGAGGTATGGCGTCAGGGCATTGATAAAGTAAGCATTCAAGGATGGCGACGGTTT